CAAATATTATTTCGCCACTAACGCTGCAGTGGTTGTGAGCTTTAACAACCAGGATGATAAACCCAGATGGATGGAGATAGAGGAATCAAAAATTTCACCGGTTAGACTATCAGAACTACCTTGGTTAAATCCTAAGAAAAGACCTGGAATTACAAAATTATTTTTATCCACCAGGACTACGCTTAAGGCCTGGGACATTGTTTTTAAAAATGACCAGTCTCCCAGTTTATATAGAGCAATGCCTATTGAATTATTGAAAGATCATATACCATCCTTAAAAATAGAATTATTGAAGGATTGCTCTATAACTAATCTGGACAATTTTTTTTATGGCAATGCTATTCTTTCTTTGGAAAAATTGAAGCTTAAGTATGGATTGTCGAATGCATGTGAACTGGAATGTATGATAATCATTGATAAATTGAAAGAACTATACCAGGTACCTGAAACAGATAAAAATTATAAATCACTTGAGATATCTCCTTTAGAGAAAGTTATTTTATACAGCCCCACTAGTAAAGGTATGATATCCTTATGTTACTTATCTCATAATGCCAAGCCCTTAATTAAATTAAAACATATGCTGTCATGGGAGACGGAGTTGGGTGCCCAGTACGATTTAGAAGAATGGTTCGGTTTCTTTACAGGTTTAAAAGGTATTTCGTATTGCACCGACCATTTTGAAAATCATTATAAAATCTTATATCGCTGGTACTTGACTCCGTCTAGATTACATAACATGAATAATATGTATTCTGACCGGTGCTGGAGAGACTGTGGGGGAGTGGGCAATATGGCCCATATCTGGTGGTTCTGCCCCAAGTTAATTAATTATTGGAAAATGATCCACGATCTGATTATTAAAGTGAACGGAACCATTAGTATCTTAACCTCGGAACTAGCCTTATTTAAAAAACTCCCGGAGTCCATTAATAGATCAGATAAAATAATCATAGGCCACATTCTGATCGCTGCTACATCCTGTTTACCTAGACATTGGAAGTCTCAAAATGTGCCATCTCTCAGAGAAGTTTTTAATTTGATTTTAGAAAATAAGGCACATGAATTATCACACAGAGCCAATATGCATGGTTTCCCAATACTAAAATACAACTGGGATAAATGGGAAGAAAAAATCAAAACAATTTATGGTCTTTGATATATTTATTGTTAAAGTGCATTGTTGTAAAACATTTTTCTTTTTGCCATATACTTTAATATGTTTATTTCATTGATGGATGGATACCACTTCCCATTTCCATGTTACCCCTCCTTTCCTACCCCTAATACAATGTTTGTATTATTATCATTTGTTATACAAAAAAAAAAAAACTTTAATAAAAATTATTTGAAAAGGATTAGCACTTGCCCATGGTATACAGCAATCACATGCCACACATTGAGGAGACTGCAGGAGAGACCTGTATACAGAGAGGAACAGCACTCACCTATAATCTACGGCAATCCCGTGCCGCACAAAGAGAAGACTGTGGGAAAGACCTATATACAGACATGTATGTACGTAGTGGGGAATCGTGATGCAGCATAATAACAGAGAACGATCCCATTTACTCCCCAAATAATGACAGACAACATAGTATGGATGAAACAAGCCACAGCATTTATTATAACATATGATAAATACTGTATAACATATCCATAATTTATTTTAATCTTTAACTTTACTTGATATAAACCAAACATCAAACATAAATAACCAGAACTTAACAAATAAGTTAACACATAGTGTCATACAGTATAACCCAACCATCCTTGCCAATATACTGACCATGAGCCTATGTACCACTTCTTCTCACCTACCCCCTCGGCATAAATTCCTTTTTCCTTCCAATGCTTACCACCAGCTGCCCTGCTCGGTGGGCACATCCAAACAGATAACCTAAGGTTAACGCTTTAGAGCAGGGGAGGTTGAGACTGAAACTTGACCACCTCATTCTATATATTGACATAACTGCCTCAAACTTAATTGGCAAGGACATACCCCCGGCCACAACCCCACTGTTTTACTCCTAAAATCAGCGGAGTACCCCACCAAAACCACTCACGTCCTGTTCCACCACTGCCTTCAGGGCGGGATTAAAGAGGAATAAAACTAGAATGTGTGCCATGTTCCGTTTAACGTCCAACACTAAATCCCATATTGGCACCGAACCCAGGTCATTCCCTCCAGATGGATGACAAGGACACTTGGAACCCCCAGGAGGCGGGACAGCTGAACCAGGTCGGGGAGGAGCCGCACCCACTTCATGCCTCTGGTGCCAAATGACTGAACGTCCACTTCAGAAGGCATAAGACCCAACCGTTCGCCTCCAGGCCGGACCGCCGCATGGCTCCTGGCCCAATAGACATAGGAGTCTCCCACACACACACAGACATGATCCATATTCTCAGGGGAACCAGACCTGCGGAGAGAAATCAACTCAGGAGACTGGCAGGGCGAACAAAAGACATATAATGCCCGACTCCCACCTCCCGATTCTCTGAACTACCTGCGCCGGCATGCCAAGCCTAGAAGCCACTGTAGCAGCCCCTATACGAAATGAATGCCCCTCGAATGCCCTGCTTTCAATACCCAGGAATTCAAGCCCCAAGCGGAATACCCTAATGAATTGGAAGTGGAAGAGAAAGCTTCTGTCCTCGTGCACCAAAAGAGGAGGGGCCGGAGAAGCCAGGCAGAAGGAACAGTACTCACCGAAGGAAAAAACGGGACAAATGCTGTAAACCCAGCACCGCCCCCACTTACCCTTCCCAAAGACATCAGTCTTCAAGCGGCGAATCCTGAAGGAAATCCAGTCTGCTGCGCAAGTAACTTCACTTAGAAGCACCCCCTCACCTGCTGACGACTAGGGCACACCTGCTCCCCAATCCCCATGGCCCTAAAGAAAGACAGGAAAAAGGCAGGCCGAAATAGACAGGCCTCAAACACAGAATGGCAAACCTTAGGTAAGGATTCACACAAACTAGCCAAGAGAGCGCCTGAGACAGGACACCTTGAGTCCCATGAGGACACTCTCCACCCTTAAGAACCTGGCGGACCATAAATGCCTTGGTAGCATCCTCCCATCCCCGTAACTTGAACAGGAAGCTGAGCACTGCAAAGAAATTGCGGAGGGAGACAACCCTGCAGACTCCCACGCCCCCTAAGAGATGCAACAAACCCTCTAGACGAGCAGACGAATCCTTGAAACCCCAGAGTGAACACTCCTACCCGTCCCATTCACTCCACACCTGTAGCGGGCCCACGTGGCCACAGAGACCGACCCATGGACCAGCTCCATCAGTCTGCCAGACCAAGCGACCACATCTCCACCGGGCACGGGATGCCCTCCAATTCGGCCTGCAGAGCCACTGCCCCGAAATACGTCCCACTGCGAACAAGAGAGAGCATCGGCCATTACATTGTGAACCCCCAAGATATGCGCAGCCCTACAAGACACATTAAAAACCAAACAGCGCAGAACTAGGCGCCACAGCGAGCGTACCACTGGGGGAGAGGATGCGGTCAATTGATTGATAGCCTGCACCACTCCCAGATTGTAACAATGGAAAACTACCCGTCTGTCCGTATGTTGGAGACCCCAATGCCACCAAAATGGGGAAGAACTCCAGGAAAGCCAGATTCTGCGTGAGCCCTGCCACTTGCCAGCCTACTGGCCAAGAGTAAGCATACCATTGAGAGCCCAAAATGGCCCCAAAACCTCCCGAGCCGCTGCATCGGTAAACAGGTGGAGATCAGTGTTAAATACCTCCGGAGCCTGCCAGTACGTTCTACCATTATAGGAGGCCAAGAAGGAATCTCAGACAGCTAGGTCATCCCACAACAGTCTACAGCAATCCCGTGCCGCACAACGAGGAGACTGCGGTTGAGACCTATATACAAACAGGAGGAGCACTCGCCCATAGTCTACGGCAATCCCGTACCACACATTGAGGAGACTGCAGGAGAGACCTATATACAGACAGGAATAGCTCTCACCCATAGTCTACATCAATCCCGTGTCGCACATTGAGGAGACTGCAGGAGATACCTATATAGAGACAGGAATAGCACTCATCCATAGTCTACAGCAGTCCTTTGCCGCACATTGTGGAGAGTGTGGGAGAGACCTATATATAGAGTGTGATGGATGAATGAATATACTTTAATTATTAGGGCATATTGGAGCCCTGGATGGAGTCAGCTCCTTTGATCATGGAGTTAGCATTCAAAATGACAAGGCCCTGGGGATATAGCGCAGCTAAGCGGAAAAGGGCACACGTATGACTGTGGGGATAGATGCGTGTGATTGGTTGTGGATGAATGTGTTGGTGGAATTATGTGTTGTGTGAGTTAGTGGGGGGTGGTTTTACCACTTGGGATTCGGGTCAGCAAACAGCTTCCCTCCCTCCCGCCCGCCCCATGAGTTTGTTTCGTCACAGCTAGCCGGGGGTATGTCCTTGCCAATTGAGTTTGAGGTGGTTATGTTTAAGTATGTGGAATGAAGTGAGCAAGTTTTCAGGTCTCAGCCTCCCATGTTCTAAAGGTTTAACCTTAGGTTATTTATGTTTGACATTTTGGTCACATAAAAGAAAATAGATTATTAAAATAAATTATGGATGTGTTTTTACAGTAATTATCATATGTTATAACAAATGCTGTGGCCTGCTTCATCCATACTACGTTGTCTGTCATTATTTGGGGGGTGAGTTGGGTTGGTTTATGTTATTATGCTGCATCGCAATTCCCCACTACGTACACACATGATTTTCACTGAATTTGTATGACCTTGCTGTGTTATACACATGTGGACATACCGGCCCGGTAATCATTTTCCTGTTTCTGTCTCAGTGTACTCCCGTTCTACTGGGCTTTCAGAGGACAGAAAGAATTCACGAACATGTTAAACTTCTTCCTAAGTATCCCCAGGTGAGCTCTGCAGGAGAATTTTAAGGAAATCTTTGTATCTGTGTAGTTGTTTGCTTTCACACAAACTGTTTTGATGTAGAGGTTTTGGACATTTGTTCTAAACTCACACGATTCTACGTGATGTTTTCTATCCTTTGTACAGCGTCTGTCTGTTTCTGCTGTGGGCTATTTCTGTCCCAATTAGCTATGCTGCGGTTCCAAGCTTCACTTGCTGAAAGGCATTTGCAAGCCCGAAATTGGCCAAATTTCTTTTGCAAATCCTTACATTTACCCCAAACGATCAACCACAGCAAATATATATATAAAAAAAAACTGAAATAATTTATTCCAGAAATATTGTCAAGTTAAATGTTACTACAGCTGGTTAAAATTACAGCTTCAGGGAGGAG